CGAGTGGGCATTTTCCCAAGTACTTCCCAATTGCTATTCTTCTCCAGGAAGTAACTGGATGGATCTAGCATGTGCCCCGTCGTCCTCAGCCCTGAATGCTTATTCAGCAACAACAGGGTGTCTGGTCCTACATTCGGTTGTGATACAGCCTTTTAGTTAGTCATTGATCACAGCATTCAAGTTGCTTATAAATTTCCCTTGAAGCTCCTAGGTGGGCCCCTTAAGACTTTAGTGAAGTGGCTGAAGATACAGGAACAGGGATGGAGCCCCAAGTCAGGCTCCCTGCTCAGCAGGGAGTCTGCTTCTCCCGCTCCCTCTGCCCCACCCCATCACTCATGCTCGCTCTCCCTGTTCTCTCTGTCAAATAAATAGAATCTTTAAATAAAATAAAATAAAATCTTTAAAAAAAAAATCCCCTCAATCTCCCAGGATAATGATCTGCTCCCCTAGAGGAGTTCAGTTTCCCTTGAAAATCCTTTATTCTGAGCCACTGGTTTGACCCAAGAGCATGACATCAGACAGCAGGAATGAGACAGACACAGCCCAGCCCTCGTGGAACTTCCATTCCAGGATCACTAATGGCTTTAGGGACTCTTAAGAAGGGATGTTTCTAACTATGATGACTAAATACAAGAAAGAATGAAATGAAAAGATAGAGTTTTGAACGACAGCCAATCGGGAATTATTTTCACGTAGAGAAACATGGAGCCACTGTGGGAAAACCCATCAAAGCATATAAGAAGCACGGCCCCTATTTGCTGACAAATGCCAGCTCAACGCATGGCACCTGCAATCTGTCCAATTCCTCTGTTCTCCTCTCCATAATTCATACCCAAATGAGAGAGTCACCAACATTCTTGTAAGACCTCTCAAACTCAGAGACTGACCCATATCACACACTCAGATTGTACCACCATGAATCCTACCAAACTACGGCCAGTAAGTGCAGATTTCCTTCATAGATAAGCATGCTCCCACTTCTAATAAACACGGATGTTCACCCAATATACTTGGTTGTAACTTGATTGGCAAAATACTATTAATACAGGCCATCGAATAAGACTGAGAGTAACCTCTTTATATAGAAACTGGTGCTAATTTTAATAGTAAGAATCATGGAGACAAATTACATCCTCCAGAAAAAGAGGATAAACTTTGAAGATTGAGAGAAAGACAGAATTCTGAAAAAGTCAGTGTTTATGGGCGCCTGGGTGGCTCAGATGGCTAAGCGTCTGCCTGTGGCTCCGGTCATGACCCCAGGGTCCTGGGATCGAGCCCCGCATCGGGCTCCCTGCTCAGTGGGAAGCCTGCTTCTCCCTCTCCCACTCCCCCTGCTGTGTTCCTGCTCTCGCTGTGTCTTTCTCTGTCAAATAAATGAATAAAATCTTAAAATAAAAAGTCTAAGTATTTAGGCACTAGTAGGAAAGAGGACATCTAGAGCAGTGATGTCCACTGTTACTAAGCCCATTGCAAAAAAAAAAAAAAATTAAAAAAAAATTTTGAGAACTCCCTAATTTCTTCATAATTATTATATACGAAATACTATAATAGTAATAGTATTATACATTACAAAACAAAAATAGAAATTTTAAAATGAGTTAACAATGAACATAAATAGAAGCTCATCATTTTTCTATTCTTTGGTAGCTCATCTTGCATTTTTCTTTGGGTATCTACATCCCACGTGAGAGGCTACTGATGCTGAGCAGGCATGAGCAAACCAGAGCCCACAGTGCGTATTTTTGTAAATAAAGTTTTATTAGAACACAGTCACACTCATTCAATCACGTACTGTCTGGAGCTGCTTTCAATCTACACCAGCAGCGGCGCATAATTGCAACAGTGACTCTCTGCCCCATAAAGCCCTAAAATATTTACTATCTGGCCCTTTACAGAAAAGGTATGCCACCTTATCATCTAAAGTCTCAGTAATGAAGAACATCCTTCTAGCCCTTAAGCAGGTTAAGAAAAGTAGATGATTATGAATGCAGTGTTTCCTGACAAAATGAAAATTCTCCAGCTAAGGAATTAGGAAAGATCTGGAGGAAAATTCTAAGTTTTGACAAGGTTTCTCACTCACAGATAGGATTCTACATATTTCTACATTTTTCAGGTAACCGTATTTATTAGTAGCTTCCCTAGGCACCAGATGTCCCTCTGGTGACAGATTAATCACCAAATTAAGTACAGTGGGTAAGCTGGAAAATTCAGCACTATGCACAACCTACGAATGGTGTAAAAATCATTAAGGGGGTAACAAAGAAACCTGGAGAAACACCTCTAGCTGCCCTACACAATGTCTTCACTCCAACTAGGGTCCATGGATCCCAGGGAAACCCTGAGACTCCCTTAGGGGCTTTACAAGTTCAAAAGTATTTTCACAATAACACAAAAATCAATTGTCCTTTACACCGTGGAGATGTCTGCATGGCGGGTAGAGAAGGGACAGGAGGAAAAAGGCTCGGGCCTCAGCAGGAACCAACTCAGCAGCGCCAAGCTGGGATGCTGGTCACTGTTCTCCACCACCACGCACCCAGCTGCCAGTTTCCTTTAAGAATGCCCCTAATGAAGCAGTAAAAAGTACTCATTTTATTAAATCTCAGCCCTTGAGTACATGCCTGTGTGACAAAAGGGAAGTATGCACAAAATGCTTCCTCTACGTACCAAAGGGGATCACTGTCTCAGGTAAAGTATTCCTGTGATAGAGTCAGAAGCAGAACTAACTCCCTTTATTCACAGAACACCATGAAAAAAATGACAAAACACAGTTATCGAGACTTGGGATTTAGCAGGTATTTTCTCTAAGGCGTAAAAAGTTAGCCAGTCACTTCAAGGAAATCACGTGACAGCACTTTTTTCCAATAGTAAAATTATATCTTTAAAAAAAAATTTAAATTTGGGAAGACCTTTATCTGCCACAATGAGCTTGACAGCTTTGCCACACTTCGACTTTCTGGATGAGATCGGCAGTGCTAACAAATGTCTTCTTTTCTTCCTTTTGTACAACAGCGGATATCTGGACGCCATGCAAAACTCCGCAAACCAGTATTTTCTAAATGACCAATGCAGGATGCTACGAAATCATCTAAAGGTAGGACCCATCAAAGTACAAGATGGACCAAGCGCATTTTAATGTAACAAAATGTGCACTGAACGGTTTCAGATTGCACCCTGCCAAGTGATCTTTAGAAAACCATCTCTTACCGAGTTGTGGTAAACGATCAAAGAAGAATATCCATAGCTTAGTGAAAAGGTTATTAAAAATACTCCCTCTTCTATGTGTCCGCTTCAGTCTGCATTTTCTTAATGTATTTCACTCAGGGCCACGAATCACAACAGAGTGAGTGGTCTTCTATGAGGTTACGAAGATAAAGAGATCAGCAAAAAGGTAAACGAATGCACTCTTCTGGCTGACTTATTTTTTGTCTTGGAAAATAGTTATTTTTCATAAAACTGGTACCGACGTTAACATGTAATAGGCTTATTGAGATCTTTCAAGGAATTAATCAATGTTTTTAATTTTAGTTTTAATTTCTGAGATGATCAGTACCAAAAGATATACCTACATAAACAAAAGCTCAACCGTTTTCAAGAACAATAAAGGGATCCCGGGGCCAAAAACACTGAGCTCTGATGCGGCAAGCCTACCCACTCCTCTTATTTTATGTGCCATTTTCTGTTTTTATTGCAAAAAAAACTTGCAGAGCAAATACTTTCCCTTTTCGTTTCTCAGTTCACTTTTTCACGAGCTACACAGGAAACAGGCAAGCCTGAATGGGAGTATGAAGTTCCCTCGCATGTAGGAAGAGGGAGACCGGTCCTAAGCAGGAAAGAAACTGCCTGCTCCACAAGAAGGAAGCAGATCCAAGCTTGAGAACCAGTGGCTATCGGCACTTGATTTCGGTCACAACTACAGACCCAGCAGACCCTGCCTCACCGTCCTCCATATGCCCAGCTATGCAGAGACAAGCTGCCTCCAGGTAGCATCCGTGTTCTCTGCTCAATTCAGTTGGCTTGAACTCTTGGGGGTTCACCCTGTACAATGCTAGATTTCCCTGAGATAGGTGGAGAAATAATCTGAAATGGCATTTTTCGGGGCAAGATGCTGGTGGTAAGAAAGCGTAACAATGCTGCCTGCAATCCCAACTGTCCGCGTGGCATAAAAGGGACAACCGGAATCCCAGGATTCTCTCTCGATTCCAAACAGGGATGGAAGATTTCCCAGGCTGAGGTTCACTGGGGTAGGACTAATACCTGCCACTTAAAATAAGTAACAGGATATCCAGGGTGGGGGAGACAGGAAAACCCAGGATAAACCACCAGCAAAGACACTGCGGCACCACTCAGCTCTGTCAGGGAGCAAAAGAACTTGGGATAGACTGAATGAAGCTTCTCCTCTGGGGCCTAGTCACATTAGCCATAGCCCTAAATACAGCCCTAAATATACGGAAGTCAAGGTCTTAAAACCTACAAGGCTCTCAAATAACATGTAACGGGATTCACAGTTGTACTACCATTATCACAAGGCGGATATTGGCGAACGGATTTCCACCACCATATGCACATCTATACCCGAGCAATCCCCAATTCTTAAAGAAATTATAATTGAAAAGTCATTTCTTAGGATTGCAGCATAAAATTTCCTCCTAGAAAAATGTTCTAATGGCAATTAGGCAAATTAATACCCTATCATATATATATATATATACAGGCAGATGATTATATAGACTTTCGTGGGCTGTTAAAAGAACTTGAGAATTCTATTTCCACAGTTTCTAAGCACAAACTCTGGATCTGAGGTACACACAGGCACTTCATTCCCAAATGAACGCATCTGAAAGTATTTCTTGGAAGGCAAGATTCAGAGATGCTTAGATTCTCCCGATGTCCCTTGTAAGAGGATTTTCTGGAGATCACATATGTCCGTAAGCACCAGCAGAGAAATACAGTTCTGGAGGCACAATTAGTTGTAAAAGGAAGGGAAGAAAGAAGGAGCTTACCTGTGGTCAAGATGACTGAAGTCTTGTAAATTCAATTCCCTGGTGTCTTGCGTCAGATAAATTGTATCCACATCCTATTTGAAATAAAATTCGATCATGTAGTCCACAAAGATCATCAGGGAAAGAGGGATGCAAAGAGAATTAGATAATGATACAGACAGATTTTCACGGAATCTGAGGAAGGAAGACTTTAGGCAAAAAAATGAATGGAGGTGAGAGAGAAAAAAAGAAAGAAGCCAGTCACCTAGTGGAATAGTCAGGCGTGCGTGTGCATACACACGCACCTGTGCACACACACACACTTACCCACTGTACTTCTTCTCTGTATGAAAATCCAAGCCAGTCGCAAACACAGGCATACATCTGAGAAAATCCACCTGAAATCCACAATAGAAATGCGACGGGTTTTCGGCTAAATGATTTATCTGAAGTTAAAATTTAAAAGTTTAAATATGGCCGATGTTGACAATGCTGATTGTTCCTTCTGTTTGGGAAAACAGCGAAGATTCTGCCCCCCTGTTCTATAGTAAGTACATAGCAGCATGCAATACAGCTTAAATATAGGACTTTTGTCCACCAATCTAAAGTCTATGCAGTGCTAATTACACCTTAAAAATAACTACACCTTTACAGTAACATACTAGGAATAGACGTAACTTCCTGGCAGGGGGACATCCATGCAGCCATTTATAATTTGGTTTTAAAAGGCATGCTCACCACAGGGGCCCTGCTCGGCCACGGTCTGGTTATCCCACAGAGCCTGGAGACTGGCCAGTCGCTCAGATGGCTCCATGGAGACTTTTTTCATGATTCGCCTGTAAGATCAACAGTAACAATAAATTTCAAAAATCAAGGTTTTTTTTGCCCTGCACACAGAACTCTATTTGGTGATATGCCCTTCTTAAAACCAAAGATGACTGCCACTTCAATTTTTGTAAAAATAATTCCATTTTTTGAGCACTAAGAAGCTGGAGATCTACAGGAACTTAATGAACTTCTTTATTTAACTCCCTTTTGTAAGCTCAGGGTATTACCCGGTGATGTAAATAGTCTCTATGTTATTGAGTTGTTTTGTAACATTCGATTCTATTAGAATGGCTAGAAAACAGTGTGTTCTAGTATTAAATTAGGTGTATACTAAATATAAATCACTAACTTTTAAAAAATTAAAATACAAATCCCCCGTCTTTCCACCGTACCACATATGAATGGCCATCGAGAAAGAGCATGTTCCTTTTACTATCTCTTCCCCTCTGACGACAAGCCCTCTGGGCCAGAGAGCACACCCAGGCCCCATGCTCATCCTCGGAGCTAACAAGGTCCCGCGCACATGCGCAGAAGCAGGACAGAAGTAGTGATTAAAGGCACAGCCAACCATCCCCCAAGTGTCATTATTCATAGAACTAGCAAAGTGGGAGGACCTACCCTAGCTGCGAGAAAGAAAGAAATTAATACCTGTGAGGTTATTAAAACAACCCCTGGTGCCTGGTAAAGTCTCAACAAACGTTAGCTGATGCTCTCCTAGTTATCACCCAGTAATCATGTAACGAGCAACTTATGAATCCCTTGATTCACCCCCAAATTTTTATTAAATGTCTACAGTGTGGCAAGACCAGCTACCAGGTCCTCAGTATACAACCGTGAACAAAACAGACATCGTGCCTGTGTTCCCAGTGATCCGTCTCTCGTGAGAACCAGACAAATAAACAGGCAATATAAAAGAAGTCTTAATACAGAAGAAGCACAGGGTGGGGGTGGGAGTGGGGGCGGCAGAAAGGGCACTTAACTTACTCTCTGGTGGGGAGAGAGCAGCGAAGGGGTCTTGGCATCTATGCTAAAACCTGGAGAGCAATAAAGACTTCATCTGGAGGGGGGTGGGACCAGGAGCCAGGGAAAGTGTTCCAGATAAAGGGCCAGCAAGTTCAGGACGAGAAGGCTCGTGTTCACCACCAGAAACTGCACACAGTTCAAAGCAGCCAGCAAATGCCGTGTGACGGGGGGGGGGGGGGGGGTGACAGAGGAGTCCAGGGAACTACACCGAAACCAGGTCAGAGAGAGCCTTCGAGTTCGGATCATGGAGTTCAGATTTTGTTCTCAGGGCAATGAGGGGCCACGGAAGGCCTCAAGAGGGTGCATGAGATGGTTGGACAGGCACTGTAGACAAATATCTGGAGGGCAGGGGTGGGGGGCAGGCTTCGGAAATAGAGAAACAATTTGAGACATTAAATGGAAGCCCACAGGACCAGTAAGAGCCCAGCGAGAGTGAAGGTCATGAGCTGCTGGTGGCGCCACGTGGACCAGTTGCGGGACTCTCTGCAGCCCAGGCGTGCGGAGAAGGGGGGCAGCTGGTGCGCGGTGGGACTGCAGGCTTTCCGGGCAGGTGAGCTACAAAGGGGCGACAGACGGCTGCGAGGGTCCTGCCAGGGCCCAGCTGCAGCGCCGGACACTGCCAGCCAAGGGATGTGTGGCTGGGAGGCCCTGGTTCTTCCAAGGCCAGAAAGTGGAACGGGGGTGCTCAGAGCGGGATGAGGAAATGTGATTCCACCCCAGCAGACACTGTTCCAGGAGATGACAAGGGCTCAGGCGTGGCTCTCACGAGTGAAGTGGGGAGGATGGGGGAGGGGAGGAGGTCACAGGCGGTGAGGAAGGGTGCCGGCGGGTCAGAGGCACCTGGGATCACGGGAGGACGTGGGTGCAAAGTGGTGAAGTAAAGATGCCAAGTTATACTGAACGTACTTCCATACTTCACCCTTTCTTCAACGACTTAAAAGCACTTCTGCTACATAAAATGTTCTCAGTCACCATTATGAATCTCAACCACCTTGTAGAGGATTAGCGGCAAGTGTTTCCAGGGAGCTCCATTTTCTCACGGGATGGATTCCAGATAAAACGTGCTAGATCCTGACAAGGGGCCTTGTTCTACTCCTAGACAAAACCTCGGGTACGTAACAAAGCACGTAGATACCCACGTTCTGCTGGCACTGAAAATATTTCTACTCCTTCGCAATTTTTAGGATTGAAGCACAATTGCATATAACCAACGATGTCAAATGTCATGAATTCCTTCAAATTCTTGTATAAATGCATGAGGGCTGCAAGGGCAGCATGATTTTTCTCCATTTCACCTGAAAACACCTATGATTAAGTCCCATTATTCTAAAGGTCCTGAATTTGGGAGTAACTGTGGGTTTAAGAAGACATTCATGCTGAAAGTGATATTACAGCATGTGGCCATTTGAAATGGTCATCTTGGTTCAACACTATCATTCTGGTATTTTAGTGGCATTATTTTCCAGCTACAAGACAGCAAAACCAGATATTATGCAAAGAAAGAGCAGAGCCATCAGAAGCCACCCCAAGCTTCAACACAGCCGGGGTGTGGACACACCCAAGTAGACTCCGGTCCAACTTCATCTGAGATCACATTTGTGTTCTAAAATTCTTGCTTTATTTCAGCAGGATGGGGTGGCATGCTGTTTCAGTGACACACAGGGTGAGGTTATGCTCATCAAAAGCAGGGAGCAAATAAAGCAAAAATCTTTGGCAGGAAGCTGGTAGGATCAAGAATAGGAAGGTGGCAGTCTAGGATTACAGGGAGAAATGGATGACTCCTCATGGCTGATTCAGAAACTAAAGCCTCAATTTTGCTCCAAAAACAACACCGGACATTCCTGATCAGGGGTAAGGACAAGTCAACTGGAAAGCGAGAGAAGTGGCAGCCAGCAGAGACATCCTTGACCTTCAAAACCCCTTTTCAAAGGTATCAGTCTGGGGGCACCTGGGGGGGCTCGGTCAGTTAAGCGTCTGCCTTCGGCTCAGGTCGTGATCTCAGGGTCCTGAGATCAAGCCCCGCGTCGGGCTCCCTGCTCAGCGGGGAGTCTGCTTCTCCCTCTACCTCTGCTCTCCCTGCTTGTACTGTCACTCTCTCTCTGACAAATAAATAAAGTATTTAAAAAAAAAAAAAAAAAGGTATCAGTGTGAGCTTTTCCAAGCAGCCTGGCTCTGTGACAGTCCTCTCTTCTTTTGTAAGGAACTAAAAACCACTTTGATCTCAGGAACTGAAGACATCTCATGAAACAGGTACATTTATTTACCTAAGAGATGAAGTCATAAGAACTAACCTTCCAGAAGGTAGCAAGTGTCCACGTGCTCTAACACATGCACAGAAGCAATGAGGGGGTTGCCCACGTTGGTTTCTGCCTGAAGCTAAACAGCGGCGGAGAGCCCACGTGTGTGCGCCACAGGACACCGCTCCCATACACACGCAGGGAGAGAAGGTGTGTCGTGCAGACAGACCAACAGACGAGGCGTGCCGCACTTGCAGGCAGTACCCTATAGCTGGATCTAGCACATCTGCATTAGGGGAGTCTGATTTACCATGAGGCTCAGAAGGACCACGAGCCAGATGACAAGCTGGTCAGCTCTCTGGGCAAATCTCATGCTTAAGTGGTTGACACGAAAAAAATCTGTAAATTCTTTTAATCCACTTAACTGATTTATTTAGAATTCAATTCCAAAGTTCCTCCGACGCAGTAAGGCCGTTGTCTCCAGAATCGGACATTTTCCTGACACAAACCACACCCCAACTAAATGCTGTCTCTGCTTTAGAAAAGTGGACGGACTGTAAGTACGTTTCTTTTGTTTTTACATAAACTCCTATTTTGCCACTTTTCTTCACAGGAACCTCACCTTCTCATACTTCAGTTGGCTTTGACTTCCTAAAGGGATCTACAATACATTTTTATTACGGAAAAAAAAGAAACCTCATCCTAACACACTGACTTTCAAACCTGTCGCAGGTGTTCCAGAAGGTCCAGGTATACTGAAAGCCTCAGGAGAAAACTCGTGTCAGAAGGTTACTGTTCTGTCACCTAAAAAGGATGTTATTAGGGACATTTGACAACAACAAAAAAATCAAATTAGAAAAATGCTTATCAACTTCCATGTAAACATATAATAAAAAAAAAAAAAAATCAGGGGGCGCCTGGGTGGCTCAGTTGGTTAAGCGTCTGCCTTCGGCCTAGGTCATGATCCCAGGATCCTGGGATCGAGTCCCGCATCAGGCTCCCTATTCAGTGAGGAGTCTGCTTCTCCTTCCGCCCCTTCCCCCTGCTCCTGCTAGCTCTCTCTGTCAAATAAATAAATAAAAATCTTTAAAAAAAAAAAAAAACAAACAAACTTCAAAGAAACTCCCTACAAACGTCACCAATATCCTTTCTGACAGGGCAGGCTTTTTTCTGCTGCCGCTGGGTAACGGACTGCAACAACCTCTACCACAGATAAACTTTCTGAAGCAGTTTACAGGAGCTAATTTAATCCCTACCTGCACCAACAGCATTATCCCCATTTCACAGATGAGGACACTTGAGGCACTGAGAAGGGAGTCAACTCGCCTAGAGTCTCGTCCCCACTAAAGCATACCGACAGCCTGACACCTTCCAGTTGTACCTCAAGGCTCTCTCCACACACGTTCATAAAGCAGCATCACAGACTGTTTCTCCCCATGTGACTACCATTTTATTCCAACGTTCAAAAGCCTTCGTTGCTGCCCAGTCCTTGAGGCTTTTGCTCACAGGGCCATCTGCAGGCTCCCAATTCAGGCTGCGTCAGGCCGACAGCTGTCTCCCAAAGGCACCTGCTCCCGCCGTTTCTCCACAGAACTCTCCTGACCCACCCTCCACAAAAGCGCCCCTCTCAAAAAAAGGGGGGAAAAGCAAATACAAATCAGACATTATTTTCCTGGCGTCTCAAGTTAAATGTGACTTTTCTTTCTCTGAAATCTGAGTATTTTCTCTCTCTTCACTATATTATTTGT